TGGAGACATGTCCAGGGTGTCCCCCACCTCTCACACAATGAATGTTGGATATTGGCACCAGTGACCCTTGTGACCTGAGAAGAAAGAAGCGGTTAAAGATAATGGATGGATATTTATTGATACTTACTCAAACGTTCATGAGACATTTTGCTAACAGTAGAGACAGATGAATGTGAATGCACATGCACATGAGTAAATGTTCAATGGACATTTCTGCTGTTTCTTACCCCGCCTCTGAGCCGTGCACTTTTTATCGTGGTTGTGTGAGTACCTCCCAATCATGCAGCAATTTCTAACATCCCTAAGGTTTTCTCACCCACTGTGCTAAATCTTAATTTTTGTTCTAAATTTGAAGTCTTTGCAGAAATGAAGCACTTCCGAACAGATGTGTCACAGGTGTTGCTTTCAGGCTTGACTGGATTCAGATATTTGAAATGACCTGCATAGTCAAATTAATTGGAATAAAAATTGGGGCTTATTTGATCTCGACCGGCAGAGAGGAAACTAATGAAACGTTATCAGAAGTGTAAAACTCGTGTGTCATCAGATTCTTGTAGCAATTCTCTTTGATGTTTCTCCAAAGGTTTCAAAATGCAAGCTACTGGTTCTTCAAATCTTTTTTCCCCATTGGTAAACAGTTTGTCTTGGTGTTTTTCAAAAGTTGTTTGAGCGCATGTTGTTTCTCCATGTTCTATTTCAAAATAGTACTTACAAAAAATGGATGTGAAATAATAATTTGGTTGATAAAAATAGAGAATTTATGTTTTGATAATCACCAAAGTGACATTATTTTAACTTGTTTGGATGATAAACTAACTTTAAAATGGAATAATACCAATCATATATATATATATATATATATATATATATATATATATATATATACCCAGCGCTTTTATTGCCCATTTCCCAACTTTTTCAAAATATAAATTATGTCATACTTAAATGTCCACCACTTGAAAATTATATTCATTTCAAACATATAAGAAGTTTTCAATATTTAAATAAAGTTTAATACTTTGTACTTTACATGTTTTTTTGGGATACTGTTTTTGTTGCCTCAATAAGAGCGACAGATGTTTTACAGGAGAGTTATAAACTTATTTATCTACCTATAGTCTAAATTTTGACAAATTTCCCTGATGCCTAGAAGACCTACACATTTATTTTATCATACACCTTTTGTAGAAAAGTGTAGAAACAAGGGGGGAAAAAATGTCAGTTTGCTTTGAACATGCCAACAGAAAACAACAAAAATAAAATTTTTAAGACGTAAAGATTGCTGTTAAAAGTATCTCAGTAGTGTCTGCAAAGAAACTGCAGTCTTTATTCTTCCACAGTGTCTTTGTGCCAGGCCACAGCAGAATAATGAACTTCTGGTCGGCAGCTCCTCTAACCTCAGCGTCCCTCAGTTGCCGTCATGTAGCCTCTGTTTCCTGCCAGGTGAAACATGAAAGAGCTGTGAATTCCCTCATTTCTTCACCTGCTGACCACCTGAGCCACAATTACTGCAGCCAGAGGAGCTCAGAGGAGGAACGCAGCACTGGTTCAGGCTGCAAGAAGTGGAGGAAAAAATAATCCTCTTCTTACATGTCCATCCAGTTTATTGAAAAAGAATATGAATGGAAAGAAAACCTTAATGTTTTATCAAGATGCATTGAGTTTAACTAATGTGACGTTCTAAAAACTTAAGCTCAATTTGTATACGATCAAAAGATTATGCCATACCTCTTTCTCAAATGTAATTATGTTCATCGTTGTGTGTATGTGTGTCTTTGTTTGTCTGTACTTTTACCAAATCATCTCATCAATCCATAAATTGTTTCTATCTGAAAGCTTCAGTAATTGTAGGATTGACATAAATACTGATTCGATTTTGGAGTCACTTAAGTCCAAAATGGCCGTCACAACAAACAAACTTTACGAAACACAAAATCAGAAAAAACGTAGTCAGTTCTGAAGATACTGGGCTAAAGTTTGTGGCTGACACTGAACTCCAGCTTACTCTCTGAGCACGGACAGATTGCACATGGTCTGGGTTTGAAACTCTGCCATTAACTATCAAAATTTATTATGTCTTCCTCAGCAAAATATCTCAAACTGCTGAATGAATTTTGAGGAAATTTTCAGAAAATATTAAACACATTTACATATACTTGTCAATTTCTGGACTCACTTATATTCATGCAGACCATAGAGTCCACTGATTTAAGAACAAGACTGAAATGACAAACTCCATCATGTTTACATGAAATGAAGTAAAAAGTGTGTGTGTCATCATTTAACACTTTATTTTAGTTACATTGTTAATTTTACCTTTTGCATTACCTGTTGGTGTAAACCTTGTTTGTCTATTAGCAGAATAGCTCATGAACCACTGGACAGATTTAAATGAACCAGTCATAGTTTACATCTAAGTTTTTGAGTCAAGATGGCCACCACAGCAAATCAGTCATAGCTAACACAACAATAGCTATACCTTAGTGATTTTTTTTTACCTGTACTGAGCTAAACTTTGGTGTGGTAGTAACTGACACACAGCATTTACTCCAAGCGCTAACTGATCATGCACAATCACTGACATAACTTTATCACATAACTGCATGAGATCACATAATTTTATTCTGTGTTGGAAGAAAGAGCTTTAACTTCATCATTTCTCAAAAAAACATGATCTTACTTTAAAATTCTGGCATAAAGGCTGTTTCTGATATGCATGATTTATGTTAACGGTGGGCCAGTGGTTACAGCTGTCGCCTCAATAGCTCCAGGATCATCTTCTGGCCTGGGACATTTCTGGGTGGAGTTTGCATGTTCTTCCCATGCATACATGGGTTTTCTCCAGGTACTTGAGATTCCTCCAAATGACCAAAAAATGCAAGCTAGGTTCATTGGTAACTCTACATTTCACTGCTATGCTGACAATAGTCAGATTTATATGCCATTAAAAAAGAAAGATGTCCCCCCCCCCAATTAGGTCACTTCATTCATTCATTCAACCTTTATTTAGACATATAAATCACATTGAGCTTTGAAGACTCGTTTACAAGTGAGACCTGTTTAGAGGACAAAAAGTAATGAAAGTGGCACATGAATAGGATTTGGAGGCAAAAAAAAAAAAAAAAATCCTATCAAACTATTTCTCCTTGACTGAGGAGAAAGACCCTGATATTGAAAAAAACACCCCGCACATAGACACATATAGTGATGTAGACATTTCACAGAGGAGGGACAATGACAAGGGGGTGACCATGTTAAAGACACTCCAGAGGCACTGTAAGAGTTCTGATAAGAATGGTACAATCAGTCAGTTTCCTCTGGTGAGATCCATAAACACTCCTGGAACAACACCAGAGAGAATCATAGAGTCCTGAAAGGATGACACAATGCTTATTCAGCCGGGTCCCTCTGATAGGTCCGTAGACTTCCTTGGTGGAAGGGGAAGGGAGGGGGCAGGGCATCGATTTACAGGGCTTCCAGGCGAATTGAAAAAAGATGACCAATCAAGGCCAGCCAGGGAGCCGAATTCAGATGAGCAACTATTGTTTTGGGAACAGGCAGAATTGAGTCATGTCTGTCTTGAGTCTTTGCTGGTCCTCTCGTATCCCAAATGTCCAAATTAAGTGGACAGATGCAGGCAGTCTGACCAGGGCCAAACTTGCTGATAACAACTTCCTTATGTTTTGAAAGACCAGGAATCAGCCAAATCCAAAAAGAGGAAACCAGTTATCATAAATCCAAATGTATATGCATACTTGGCGCTTGTCTTCTCGTCGAGAAAATTTTATAACTTGCGTTGAGAGACCATCTGACCAGACCCATAGCAAAAATGTATGGTTTGGAAGATATGTAGAGAGAGAGAGGCTCTGAAGCAGTTTCACAGACAGGACAGAGCAAAGCAAAGTGGAGGAGGGAGAGGAGAGGGAATGCATCCGCCCTTGACAAGAGCAAGTGGTGACAACTTCTGTTGTGTCTTGAAGAAATCAAAGCCTGGATATCTTTAAACATCAATGAAAATAAAACAGAAGTGATTATGTTTGGTCCTAGTGGCTCCTGTGAACCTTGCCCTGTTGATCTGGGAGCTCTGGCACCGCATCTAAAGAAGGCAGTTTCTAACCTGGGTTTTATAATGGACAGTGGAGCTGTGGTCAAGACCAGTTTTTATCTCCTCAGACAGCTGGATAAGGTAAAGCAGAGGCTCAAACAACAGCAGCTGGAAACAGTAATCCATGTCTTTGTCACCTCAGCGGTATTACTGCTACACTCTTTAACTTGGCGTCAGCCAGTCCTCCCTCAGACGTCTTCGGTTGGTCCAGAACGCTGCTGCTCATCTTCTAACTGGAGTTCAGAAGAGGGAACACATCACCCCCCACTCTGGCTTCACTCCACTGGCTGTCTGTTCATTTTAGAGTTCATTTTAAGATTCTCTCATTTGTTTTTTTTTTTAAGTTTAAATGGTCTTGCTCCATCCAACCTCTCTGAGCTGCTTCACCCATACTCTCCTGCTCGGTGCCTCAGATCAGCAGATCAGCTGCTCCTGGAGGTGTTGATGTCCAAACGGAGGATCAAAGGGGACAGAGGTTTTTCTGTAGCCACTCCAAGATTCTGGAACAATCTCCCTCTTCTTGTCAGACAAGCCCCATCACTTTCCATTTTTAAAACTCTTTCAAAAACACATTTTTACTCCCTGGCTTTTGCCACAGCCTGACGTTTGCTCTGCACTGTTTTTATTGATCTTAATGTTTGAACTGTTTTATTCTTTTAAGTGTTTAAACGTTCTGGATTTTATATGTCCAGCACTTTGTTGCAGCTGTGGTTGATTTAAAGGCTTTATAATAAAGTAGTAGTACATTGTCCCTAGGAGACAGTGAATGTTTGTCTTATTTTTTCTCCATGTGTCCCTGTGATGGACCTGTCCAGAGTGTCTCCCACCTCTCGCACAAAGACAGCTGAAGATCACCAGCTCCCCACAACCTGTCTATGTGCTGTCTGTTTTCCAGGTCGTATCCAACAGGGCTGACATGGCCATTGGTTCTCTCACCATTAACGAGGAGAGGTCAGCGGTCGTGGAGTTCTCGGTTCCCTTTGTAGAGACCGGCATCAGTGTGATGGTTTCCCGCAGTAACGGCACAGTCTCACCTTCTGCTTTCCTTGGTAAGCTTTCATTTAGACTTACTTACTCTCATGCCACTATTTTAAAAACAATGTCTAAAATGAAGGACGAGGAAACATTTGGACATCACTGTTATTCATCTGTTGTCTCTGTCAGCTTCTCTGAAGAGCAAACCTTGCATTAAAATAAATGTTATTTTAATGCTGATCTGTAAATGCATCTGTATTTGTGCAATGTATCTTCTAAATACAAGGTAGTAAAGTCATTGGTCATCAACAAATGACACATACAGACCTGTACAGTCAGGTTCTGGAAAAAAAAAGGCAATACAGGTTTACAATGACCCAACTCATCCACTGCAACCATTATTCAGGTTGGTACCATCTGGTAGAAGACTGCTGGTTCCTTTAGCAAAGAAAAATGGGTACAAAAAGTCATTTGTTCCCTCTGCGGTGAATGAACGTAACAAGGTCCTATTTAAACACGGCCTCACATGACAAACTACTGTCTGCTGGGATGTTCCCATATTTTAATGTATCATGCATTTTAGAATGGTTTTAACTGAATGCTTTTAATTGATTTAGCAAAGCTTGGTTTTAAAGTTTTAAAAGTTTTTTTTTAATCACATTTTTTATCTTGTGTTGTTTTTATAAGCCAGATGTCAAAGACAAATCTCCATTTCATTGAATGTTATGGACAATAAAGTTGAATTGATTGATTGATTAAGCATCCCTAAATACAAACTTATAAACATTATTTTGAACGGTGCAACTAAAATTAGCCAGTTGGATTGTTTAAGCGTGGTGTTTATTACGCTCAGTTGCAACGAGGCAGAACTTAGTGGCTTAAATTGGAAGCAATTTCCATCTAAATGTGCAAAGAAATGACTGCAGTTTGTGGAGCTTGTGGTCACTACACCATGTTTCAGCTTGTCAAAGATTTGTTATTTATTAATATTCTTTTTTTCTCTTCTTTAATTCAATGCGATGATGAAAGCCTCTGAAGGTGTCGATGTGCGCAACCAGCACTGACATTTTCACGTAATGCTATACAGCGTGCTGGTGTGGGAGTAATTCCTCAATTATGCCTTCACTTCTGACAAGCTTTTGTCTCCCACTTAATAAGTTTAACTCCCGGCATTGTGTCTCAAAGTAAAGCTGCCAGGGCAGACTTAGAAAATGATTTCCGGCACACTCAAATAAGCTGGCTGCTTCTAAGAAAGAAAGAAAAAACACACCTCTTAAGAAATCTTCTCAGATTAATCCCGTACATGTCAAAGCATAAAAAATGAAAAGGATGTGTGAAGGAGAAAGCTAAAGACAGATAGATTAAACAAATAAAGAAAATAATTTAAAAAAAGAAGCATTCATTAGATTAAAGGCCAGGCATTCTTTGAAGCAATGCACACGGACCACCACCTTTCATACTGAAATGAGCTTGTGCTGAGAAGGACCTGGGTTGTAGATGTTTTGGTCTAGCCTTGGACATCATGCTGTGCACCATCACATGCAAATCCTAAGCAATCCTAGCTCAGTATCTTTAAAACTCACTGATTTATAAAGGAGTTTGAGCTCTCTAAGATTGATTAGCTGTGGATGCCATCTTATGGGATGAGTCCAAATAGTAATGTTTTACATGTACTTTCAATTATTACATTCGGAGAGGTTCAATAAATTTTGTCCAGTGGTTAATGAGATTTGTTGCAAACAGAGAGACAGGCTGGACACCAAAAGTTAATACTAAAGTTTTAGGCAACAACATTATGCAATATACTGTGCATTTAATATGTGATGTGCACAGTACTCACCTACTATCACTTTTATTTCAATGTACAGTAGTCCCTCGTTTATCACGGGGGATGAATACCCTGAAGACCCAAGATAAGTGAAAAACCGCTAGGAATAGTAGTATGAGTAGTAAGTAGTAGTTATATATATATATATATATATATATATATATATATATATATATATATTCAGTAGTCCATTGCTACTTCACGTGTCGTTTATCGCGGACTCGCTCTATCGCGTTTTTTCAAAATAAGACTGGACATGACACACAATTGACTGATGGATGGATGAGCCGCACGATCGGCATGGATTTTTTATTTAAAATAAATAATTTTAAATTATTTAGCACCTGCTGCACCTGTGTGCAGCCCGTACTGCAGGCTAAACTTCCTGCTGCAGCTGACCAGCTGTTCTCCGTTCAGAGCAAAGAAGCGGGCGTGGTCACGAGCGCTTGCATGTAGCAAAGAGCGGACGAGGCAAGGAGCTGAGTTCATGACATTATGTGCTCTTTTACAGAGTTTAGAAACATTGTTTAGAATATTGCAAGTGTGCGGGAAGGTAAATTAATTTGACTGAGAGAGAGAAATTTTTGTATTTGCTAACTTTGCTTAGCGGTAGTGGTCAACTGGAGTTTGTCTGATCTCAACTATAAATTATTTATAAATAATCAATCATTGATTACTTTCTGAGAGTTTAATTGATAAAACATAAGAGTTTGTTTTCAGTGCAGAGGAACAATCAGACATGGACTGAAACAATATTGTCCTATTCCCTTTTAACAGCCGGCCAATAAAAACACATTTAACTCAGAGAGACGGCCTTAATATAAAAGAGTAATAGAAAATTGTTATTGATTTGATTTATTTTTATTTAAACCTTTATTTTACCAGAAAATAAATCAAGATTATTAATCTCTTTTACGTGGATGTCCTGTGCAATATTCCAGGTACATTTTGATAGAAAGAAAAATGGAGGTGCTTTTAATGCTGTCAGATGTTGTAGCATGCTGGTTGACGTACATCTCCATGTGTGCGTATATTGTAAAGGCCAGAAGAAACCATCCCCTGTAGTGAAAATACTGTTAATATCAAGTAGAGTCTCAGGTGATTACTTTTTAAACCCTCCATCTGTGCTTCGAAAGCTGAGTGTGTGAATTCTGTGCACGTTTGGCTGCTGGACAGAGTTAACCTGCAACATATTAAAACAAAGACAAAGCTCTGCAGCACTGTATAATTAAATAATGTTGCAGAAATTAAATCTTATTACTTTATTTATTATTGTTTCAATAAATTTCCATATATAATTTTTTTTTAAATGAATGTGAAATTAAATTCTCTGTGCTTCTGCTGGCTGTTTTTACTAAAACCAAGTCCTTCCACTTTAATAATTCCAATGCTTGATTTGATCTTTTTAGTAACACTTCCCCCTTTAACGGCGAGCGTTTGAGCACCAGGAGTCAACTCTTCTCCTCATGGAGCTCATCTGTTTCATTTATGCCGTGGGGTACCTTGATTCATATGTTCAGAAGTGCAGTAGTACATCTATCCATCTGTCAGTAGAGATTTGGAAGACAATCTGAAACATGTCATGGTTGGAAGGAAGCGCTGGGCTCCCAAGGCTTTTTTTATCTTCTATTTTCTGGGCCACGGGGCCAACAGTCACTCCACACTGTAGATGCGCCCGTCTTAGTGGAGGGATGCATTTTGTGAATGTATGAGGGGCAGACGGAAAATAAAAGAGGCCAGAGAAAGTTAAGAGCATATAGAAACACAGGGAGAGGTGAGCGGTGAAAGAATCAATCATGTGAGAAAAGAGAGAGTGCAGCAGTGAGGAGATGACTCACGGAGGGGAGGAAGAAAAATCACAAGAAAGGTGTCTCAGAAAAAAAAGAAATTACATAAGAAAAAACTATTAAAAGCCATACAATTACGAGAATAAAGTCAATAAAGTCACAAGAGTCTTTTTGCGGCTCTCGTGGAGTTTTTTTTTTTTTCCACGAGTCAGATCCACAACGCGACCTGTCAATCAATTCAGTAGGCGTGTCAGCAAACGACCAATCCGAAGCTAAATGAGTCGTAATATTATCCAAACTCCGACACGATAAAGCAGGGTTTACTGCATTTTAACTGTGGTAAAATGAAGAATGTTGAGCATCTTGTTAAATTATATTTTGGTATAGGGCTGGACGATATGGCCAAACTTTATCTTGATATATTTCTTAATTTTGGTCGATAACGATATAATTTGATATCGATATACAGTCAACAGTATTTGTATTTACCCTTCAAACAAGTTCGAAATCACGTCAAATAAACATAAAACTCTCAACTTTATCAATATCAATAGTTTTGACTTTAAACAGCATAACCTAACCCATGCAGTTTCTCTTTTGATACACCTGGGTGGGGGGGTTGTTTCAGGGACACGTTGGCTCAAACTTTATTGTGTTTCATCTTCTGACTCTCAGCATCTTCTGTAAAGTGGAAACTCTTCAGATGAAACAAGTTCAATATGTTCCCACCGCTGCTTGGAACGACTTTCCGTCACATTTTGCAGCTCACAAAAACCTGAAGTTTATCGGATCTTAGATAGCCGAACCACTTCCACACCACCAAATGAGTATTTCTTCTCGTATCAATTATGCCATCTGCTTTCTCTTTGCTTGTGAAAGCTTGTTCAGTCGCATTCTGGCGGTCATGGGAACTTATTTTGAAGCAAGAAATTTAACGCGCGTTGGAGATTAGCCTAGCCTACCCTGCTACCGCTAACACCTTCTGGACCTGAGCTCTGCGTAACATCTACGTCCCCACGCACTCACGTAGTTGTGTTGCACCTTTTTCTGTCCGGGTTGAAACTGAAGCGGCCGCTTCAACCCGAACAGAAAAACAAATGCGTCAGTGAAACGCTTTAATCATATTGAAATATCGAAAATGTGCTTAAACCTCATGCCACCGTTATTGAATAAACGTATATTGTGACATTATCAATATCAAATTGTTGTCCAGCCCTACTTTGGTATTGCTTTTACAATAAGGAGATACTAATCTATTAGCACATCAGCATCAGATTATTATCAGTATCGGGACTTTGGACCTGCTCACAGTCAGGTGGTACGATCTGATGGGCAGCAGCAGCTCTGCAGGTAAGGAGCATTTAGCTTCGTATTGGTCAATTGCTGACACGCCTACTGGCTTGATTGACAGGTTGAGTCGTAGATCCAATGCGTGGGGAAAAAAATAAATGAGAGCTGTTAAAAAAAAGTCTCGTATGACTTTATTCTTGTAATATTAAGCCTTTATTCGACTTTATTCTCTTAATTTTATGTATTTTTTTTCTTATCGTGGCCCCAAAGTTCCTTCGTACCTAGGAACAAAATGTGAGCAAAGTCATTTTTATACAGCGCAACTTAATTGGCTTCAAGATAGGCATCACCTGTGAAAGAACAACAAAATAAGAAACAAATATCAAACACGTTAGAAACGATTTATATTTGGCTTTAATATCAAACTCAAGTTAGTGTGGCCACTCCCTGAACTCAGACAATGACATTTATCTGCTTGAATCCCTTAATCCCTGCTGGGAACATGCTGGCACGCAGAACAAATACATAACAATGTTTCTTTATTTAGCAACTGCTGCTAAAATGGAGGACGCATAAACCCAATTAACCCCAACTCCAACCACAAGTGCCCCGACAGCACCAGACTGAGGTGATACCAGGCAGCTCCAAGGCACAACTATTACAGAGTGCGTTTACAAAAAAGAAGATAAAAATGGACTTCACCGGCTTTAATACATTGTTGGAATAAATTGTTTGTCCCAAAGCACATGCACCTGTGGGAAACCAAACTGTTGGACTTTCAGAGATGGTGAAAGTGAAATAAAACAATAAAACTTCTCATATATTAACTCGAGGTTAATTTCATTTTTTTTATTTATTGTTTTCCTTACCCGCCAGGGTGTAGAACCTTCAGCATTCACAGGCCACTATGTAATTATTTACCAACTTCCTCTGCAAAGATCGTTTAGATTTATCCGCAGGCAACTTGTGACTTGATTAAAAACAGTGCAAAGGTTTTCTGCTGTGAAGGGAAATAGAAACGGACTCTTCTTGTTGAAACCATCAAAACTGAGCTGATGTGTGCTCAATGACTGGTCAACTCGTTTATCGCTGCTTCTTCCTGATTATAAAAATAATTAATTTTTACAGCAATAATCTTAAGTCACGTCTTGTATATCCAATACAGCAACTAGGTAAATGGGGGAGATAATGTTTTGCCTGTGTCTAAATGTGTGAGCCTGTCTCTATTACAAAAATATCTCAAGAACTAATTAATGAACAAATACCATCCATCCATCTTCCACTTGTTCCAAAGTCGGGTCTCGGGGGAAACAGCTTGAGCAGGGAGGTCCAGACATCTCTTTCCACAGCCACCTCTTCCAGCTCTTCTTAGAGGACTCCAAGATGTCCGCAGGCCAACCAAGAGATGTAGTGTCTCTAGTGTGTCCTGGGTCTTTCCCAGGGTCTCCTCTCAGTCAGGCATGCCAGAAGCCCCTATGGGGAGGCGCCCACATCCATAACAGATGTCCCAACCACCTCAACTGGCTCTTTTCGATGTGGAGGAGCAGTGGTTCTACGCCGAGTCTCTCCTAATATCTGAACTTCTCACCATATCTCTAACGGAGAGTCCAGCTACCCTGCGGAGGAAACTCATTTCAACCTTCTGTATCCACAATCTCATTCTTTCAGTCACTACCTAGTGTTGGTGGCCATAGGTGAGGGTAGGAACGTAGACCGACCGGTAAACAGAGAGCTTTGCGGTGTGGATCAGTTCAATCTTCACCATAACAGACCAGCACAGAGTCCGAAATACAGTAGTCCCTCATTTACCGTGGGAGTTTCCATTCTCAGTCCAACCACTTACTGTACTGGAGATGATGCGCCAATCTGTCTGTCAATCCTGCGCTTCATTCTTCCCTTACTCGTGAACAAAACTCCTCCACTTGAGGCAAACCCAACAAAATGTGTAAGAACATTTAAGAAAGTACTTATTGGATGTTCACTCACAGCTGATTACCCTTTGATGTCACTCTAAAAAATGGTTGCCACAGCTAATCAACATCAGCCAACACAAAAAGCAGTCACCTTTAGAGATTCTGAGCTCAAGTTTTATGTGGTAGTAGCTGAGAGTCCTTCACAACACACACTCTGAGTCTGACATTGTCAGTTTTGCATAAGATTTGCACAAATGTCTAATTTCAGACAGCTACAATTTGACGTTTCTCAACATTGAGATGATCTTAGTCTAAAACTCTTGGCAGACATTACGCATTTCTTTAAGCAATTTATAATTTGCTTCATAAGAGTGGGGTCTTTCTTACAGTAGTATTAAAGTAATGAGTTTAAACCTTTTTCTGTCTAAAGAGGTTTTTATGAGTTTCATTGCAAATATTTGGTAATTATGACAAAAAAAATCCTTAGATAATTCAAATAATCAAATGATTCGTGATAAAGCAAGTCATGTTTCTGCTCTGGTGGTATGAAAAACCTGGATATAGATGAAAAGCACCTCCCTTGTTCTCATGGCACACATTTTGGCAGCGCATGCAGCCTTAAAAGCATATTAGCCCTGTCTGGCAGTGAGTTTAATGGATGAATCCTGAACGTCTCCACCTGCTCCCTCACTGGAGATCTCTGCAGGGAAGCTCCAGCTAAAAGCTTCGTGTGTAAACAGTGCTTGTAGCTCTTTGGTATGCCTGCGCACAGTCAAGTTTGATTTAGCACCTACTCCTGGATGCAACACAAAGAGATGAAGGTGTAGATGAGTCAACCCGGCGGCTCTGCCCATCTCTCTGGTGTGCTTTCATTACCAGTACAGCTGCTGGTGCTGTCATTGTTAGTCTTTGCAGCCAACCTCTCACTAATTTGGAAGATCACAGAAGTTCATTCCTTCAGCTTCCAGCTTGACTAGCATCCATTTCTTTAGACCAAGGAGCGTGAGGGAAAACATCTACCTCCCATTAGAACTGCTTCATATTGTATGGTTGAAACTTTACTTTAAACATTTAAATAAATGAGTTTCTTTTATTTTAATATATACTGAAGCAGACATGAAAAATGGTATTTATACACATTGCATATCTAATCATGCTATTAAACAGCTCCCCTTTTGTCACAACAAACGCATGAAGAAAAATAAATCCTGCTTAGAATTTCACCTTTACTTTAAATTAAACCAAAAGGAGAGCGGTGGCACAAAGGTTAGAGAAGACGAGTCTGTAATCGGAAGGTCACCTGTTTGAATCCTTGGACTGACAACAGCAAATGTGAGTGGGAAAGGTGAAGCGCCCCACTTTGGGCCCTTGAGCAACGCCCATATCCCTCCCTTCTATAAATAGTGTAGGTCAAAACATTCCTCATCCCTCCTTGCATCTCTATGCTGATGACACAGTTGTTTATTGTCGAGCTAAAACAGTTGCCAAGGTTTTCCAGCTTCTACCGTCTGTGTTTGACATCATCCAGTCAGACGTGTTTGTCTCCAACTGGTGCTAAATGCTGATAAAACCAAAGGGATGTTGTTCACAAACAGGAAGTTGGTGCCAGCAGTTCGTCTTCCTGTCTCGTCCATGCATCATGTTCCTACTGAGTTTGTGGATTCTTACAAATACTTGGGGATTTTAGTTGATGCACAGCTCTTTTTTAAGCCGCATGTTGAAAGTTTGATAATCTGAAAGTGAAATTCTTTTTTCAGAAATAGATCTTGTTTAACTCTGAAAACACCTTGTAGCTGCTACTTTCCTACCGGCAATTGACTATGGTGACATTATTTACATGACTGCCCCTGCCAGCTGCTTGCAGATGTTGGATGCTGTCTACCGTGGTGTGCTAAGATTCATAACTGGTTGTAACTACTGCACCCGTCTCTGCACCCTGTACTCATTTGTCAGTGGGTCATCATTATCTACACCATATGTGTCAAACTCAAGACCCGGGGGCCAAATGCGGCCCCCGTTGACATCTTATCTGGCCTCCAAGATATGTGAAATGTAAAATACTTATATCTCTTGATTTTTTTCAGTAATATTTGATTATGATGTCAAAAGCACAACAGAGAACATCAAATGAGATCAATCAAACTCTTGTTGAAGAACCTGTGACCAAGAAAAGGTGCTGGGTATCTGGTTTGAGTTTATGTCGATGCTGAAACTGGTCCTTAGTTTGAAAAGGGTTTTAATGTTGGCCCTCTTTTGCAAGTGAGTTTGACACCCCTGATCTACATGCAGCCTCTCACACTGGTTCATGTTCATCTATAAATCACAACTTGGTCTGCTGCCTTCTTCTATCTCCTCCCACATGTCACGTCGTCAGTGCAGTTACGGCGTGCGCTCTCAAGGATTACCTGCAGCTTCCCCTCAGTGCGTACTGACCCCAGCAAAAAGGCCTTTTCTTCCTACGCTCCTGTAACCTGGACCATCTCGTAAAAAGATCTGAAGCTGTCCACTTTGATCTCTTTAAGGGGTTTTAAACATGATAATGTCAGTAAGAATATCAAAGCAAATATGTTTGTGTGTTTAGTCGTTTACATTGTTTTATATGGCATCTTGATTTGACCGTGTTTATAACTTGTTTGATTTGGTTTTAATTGCTTTTTGTTGAATTATTTGTTGTCTGTACTTTATATGTTATCCATCTAAAACAGGTCTCCCTTGTAAATGAGTCCTCGTGGCTCAGTGAGACTAACATGTATAAATAAAGGTTGAATAAATAATACTCATTTTGTCTGCTGAAAACACACATATCTCCAGTTACTGGTAATAAAAATAAACCTGTAAAATGAACTTCATAAATGGTTTCAAACCGATCCACAACAATGAAATTGTTGCAGTTTGAAGGATGAGAGAGCTGCTTCAGGAACTTTCAAAGTTTTGCTCCTTTTTGTCGCCTACAGGTCAATTATGGCTGACGGCGCATCATTTTATCACAGTGGTGCTTCACGTGTGACAGGCACACGTCTGAAACTTGATCACATGTTTACACGTGTGTGTTTGTGTGTGCTTTTCAGAGCCCTACAGCCCAGCGGTGTGGGTGATGATGTTTGTGATGTGCCTGTCAGTGGTGGCTGTCACCGTTTTCATCTTTGAGTTCTTCAGCCCCGTGGGATACAACCGCAGTCTGCAGAGCGCCAAGAGTAAGAGGCAGAGTCTCTGCGGCATCGGCACGCCAATCAACCCACCACCACTGCTCCTTTCACCACATTATTACCAACATGTCAATTTGTCAGTTATGTAAGCGAAGGGGGGGCTGAATTAAGTAGGACGTTTGCTCAAATTATGCAAATTATGCATCCTACTTTTTATTTTATTTTAATTAATTAATTTTTTTTTTTTTACTACACAAGTCAAAGCAATCACTCAACAATATGGCTGATTTAGGTTTAATCAAACAAACAGTGACAAATGGACATTGGCTCATTTTTGAAGTTTTATTATCGCGCGTCAGTTCAGCATTTATTCAAACAATTCACTGGCTGCTCCTCTGTTCAACTACAAAGTATTAATCAGTGAGAAATGTTCAACATTATAGTTTAATAAAGGGACTGGGGCTAAATTAAACTGCGGAGTGGCAGGAAGACAAATGCTCATCCCTGCTTGAATTATTATATTTATATATATATATATATATATATATATGCATGCATTTATTGTCCTTTTCCCAATACCTGGATGATTGAGCATACAACCCTTTATTTGAATGAGGTGTTTTGAAAAGAAACTTAAATCATACTGGGCAGTCAATACTTATATATTTCATAATCTGGGTCACAGAATATATATAAACAGTATATATATATATATAAACAGTATATATATAAACAGTATATATATATATATATATGTATATATATATATATATATATATATATATATATATATATATATACAGTATATATACAGTAGTCCCTCGTTTATCAAGGGGGTTTCTGTTAATCGGCTCCCCTGCGATACGTGGAAAACCAGGAAGTAGGAATAGTAGTACAAGTAGTAGTTTATTTTAGTATATACAAAGTATATATATATATATATATATATATATATAAATAGTCCACCTCAGTGTGGTTAAGACCAATTAGTTTATGTTCTCACATAAAAAAGAGAAGAAAACAAAATTAATATCAATTAGAGGAAAAATAATGCACCAATAAAATATCCTCATTGGGCTTTGGTGTGTATTCAAAAGATTTGTGATAGCTCCAAGTAAAGTAATCCTGAAGGTATTAAAAAAAAATTAGGTATTGAATTCTTTTACTTTTTCATGTTTCGTCTTGGATAGCAGAATCTGACTCTTCTTGACGTCTCTGTAAACAATCGAAGCCCCGTGTTCTGTTGAAAAAGCAACTTGAGGCCAGTTTGAAAACGGTCTGTTACAGTAACGATAACCAGAGCTCATCTGTGGCCTTTTCACCCCAGTGCTGTTCCAATAAGATTTAAATGAACCTTTGCATCCTTTGTGTACAATCAGGTCATTTACTAATAATTAAACAATATGTCGTACTTGCTTTAAAACAGAAAGTGTTTCCTTTGATTTATTTCTATTTTAATAAATTTAAGTGGAAGAGTGAATTAAAATAGAAGCAAAAATGATCTTGTGGGTCACGTTGGTGTCATGCATCTTTCCATTTTCCCACAGCTACACATATACTTACCATACCATACCAATTTATTTATATAGCACTTAAAACAGCAACAAGGCCAACCAAAGTGCTGTACAAAAGAACCAAACATGCACAGCAGACAGGAAAACATAAAATAGAAATACAGGTACAAATAGCAGCAGAAGCTAACTAAAATGGCCAACAGAGTAGAGAACAGACCGGACCAAAACAAATCACACCGTGTTAAAGGCAAGCGAATAGAAGTGGGTCTTCAAGCGAGACTTAAAGACTGAGAGTGTGGGAGCCTGCCGGACACTCAGTGGCAACTCATTCCACAGTCGTGGACCTGCAACAGAGAAAGCCCTGTCACCTCTGAGCTTACGACGGGTTTCTGGGACTGAGAGAAGCATCTGGTCTGCTATATACTTGAATTTTTTTATTTGGTTTGTCCCTGAAAACTTTACTTCTTCAACTCTTTTTAATCTCTGTCCCTCCCAGTGTCAGGCGGCTCTAAGTTCACCATTGGGAAGTCCGTTTGGCTGCTGTGGGCGCTGGTTTTTAATAATTCAGTCCCTGTGGAAAATCCCAGAGGAACCACCAGCAAGATCATGGTAACTACTCGGATACTTCGCCTTTAATTCATGAACCTGTTGTTTGTTTAAACAGATTCATGGAACTTGTTTTCTAAACTAAAAGTTTGCTGCACATCACCTTGGAAGTTATAGTTAATATCATAACGCTTTGCTCATTAAATACTTTCTCACACATTGGACTTTGTAATTGTCTTGCTAATACGTTCACCTTTTCTTTGATCCTTTTCTTAAAATCTCATCATTTTATTAAAGCTAAAATGTTCACAGAAGAAATCAGCACGATTAAAAATATTGTTATTGGCAGCGTATTCAATAAATTGCAATATATCTGCAAATGTCAGGCCCTTAACCCTTTTCAGGCTCATCAAAAGCCTCAAATCCTCTGAATGAATAATTGACAACATTTTACGACTGAAACTAAACATTAAAGTTCTAATTCCTTTGCATGAGCATCCAAACGTAGTAAAACTTTGCAGGGATTTATTGTTAGAACATCATTTTATGCATCAGTTGCACTGATCTTTATCTCTTACTCTGTTCCGGGCTGGATTTCAACAGTATTACAGTCTGCAGCCATAAAACAGCAACACTTTCTGAAAAGCTACACATGTCCGTGCCAAGGCCCTAAACTAATTTCCAGGGGAACTTTTATTTGTGCCCTTGTGATTTAGAACAGCTTGACTTAGGAAGTGATGTTAATTGTGTTTATTCAGGAGTGTAAAACTAGCCAAACTTGGGTAAATTACCTGTGTTTATTTATTTATTTTTATTAAATGTATTGATTGGATGATAAATAAGCTTGCTTGATTACAGTTACATTAAAAACACTATTTTCTTGACATCAGTGCATAAGTAGCTATATAATGGAAAATGTATGTGGCAAATTTCCAGTGGAAAATCTGTGCTTCAGGCCAATCGGCACCATCTGCTTTCATTACCGGAGACTTTGGCTTCGTGTTGGTTTCATACATCCCAAGGGATCCCTTCGAGTGTCACCTAGAGCCAAATAGTTTTCAGAAATGTCTGAGAGATCATCCATTAGCCAGTAACCTTTTTGTAACACTAAGTTATAAGATGGGTTTAAAGTAAGACACTGGTTGATGATGAAAAAAAAAGTCAGCATTTAAACAATTATATTTAATATAAGGTCAACATCGCATATGCTAAAACTGTCAGGTAAGTTTTCTGGATTAAAAACAACATTTCTGAGGAGAATTGTGATGGAAAACTCAAGCTCTTTTTCTTTGCTCTCGGTTAAAGGTAGAATTTTCAGCACTTTAAGATTTCAGTACTGCAGGAAATGAAAAAAGTCCATGTCACCAGGTCCAGTTACTCCATCAATATTATAAATCCCAGTTTAAAAGGACACATACTGAGGTTTCAGTGACATTTTCAGAGGCTAAAAGTCCCACGCTGACAAATGACTCATGAGACGAGACAGTCCTTCAGGTGCAGGTTTAGAAATGAAAATGATCACTGGACTCTGATTTTATTTGTCCCTGTCAGTCTCATCTGTCACTGATCTTTGACCCCTTCAGGTGCTGGTTTGGGCCTTCTTTGCTGTCATCTTCTTGGCCTCCTACACTGCCAACCTGGCTGCCTTCATGATCCAGGAAGAGTACATCGACACAGTGTCAGGACTGTCGGATAAGAAGGTATCTGGGATGGATGGATGGATGGATGGATGGATGGATGGATGGATGGATGGATGATGGATGGATGGATAAAATAATGGATGGATGGATAAAAGGATGTATAAAAGGATGGATGGATGGATGGATGGATGGATGGATGGATGGATGGATGGATGGATGGATAAAAAATGGATGGATGGATGGATGATAAAGACAGATGGATAAA